CCCTCAGTCCCTACTGAATCAGATTCTCTGGGAATGGGCCCTAAGAATATGCATTTTCCCGTAGTTCTTTGTTTCATTGTTTTCTTAGAGAAATGGGCATTTCTCTAAGGAAGATATACGAATGGCCAACAGACATATGATAAAATGCTCAACATCACTCAGCATTCGGGAAATGCAAATCAAAACCGCACTGAGATACCATCTCACCCCAGTTAGGATGGCTAAAATCCAAAAGACTTTGATGAATGATAGATGGTGAGGTTGTGGAGAAAAAGGAACTCTCATACATTGTTGGTGGGACTGCAAAATGGTGCAGCCTCTATGGAAAATGGTATGGAGGTTCCTCAAACAATTGCAGATAGATCTACCACATGACCCAGCTATCCCACTGCTGGGAATATACCCAGAGGAATGGAAATCATCAAGTCGAAGGTATACCTGTTCTCCAATGTTCACTGCAGCTCTATTTACAATATCCAAGAGTTTGAACCAGCCTAAATGTCCATCATCAGATGAGTGGATACAGAAAGTATGGTATATATACACAATGGAACACTCTGCTGTAAAAAAAAAAAAAAATGAAATATTGCCATTCGTAACAACATGGATGGACTTACAGAAAATTATATTAAGTGAAACAAGTCAGGCACAGAAAGAGAAATACCACATGTTCTCACTCATTTGTGGGAGCTAAAAATAAAGAAATAAATACACAAACAAATGGTGGGGGGTGGGAAGAAGACAACAATCACAATTCCTTGAAGTTGTTAAGCCATTCCTTAAGGTTGATGGGAGGGAGGGGGGAAACGGAGGGGGGAGGGAGGATTCGGTAAAGGGACACAAAAATCACCACATTGTATATTGATAAAATTAAATTAAATAAAAAAAAAAAACCCAAAAAATATCTGCGCTCAAAAACAAAGAGAATGCTCAAAGCCCCTTTTAAAATAAACAAAAATTTTCACAACATCATTGTGAGAATAACGTCTCTAAACAGCAGACCCAAATTCATGCCTGTGTTCTGTATTAGTGTTATGACCTTGGGGCAGGTATGGACATCATTCCCACCAATTTTTACATCTCATTGGAATCGTGGAGGATCCAGGTACTAGCATTTGTGAATAAAGAAAAGCTGAATTTCTCAGACCAAGGGACCCCCCACCATGGACGTAGCCACCTACTCCTTGATACAAGCAACCTTGCAGTTTTGTGTTTAACCTCAATGATTCATTATTGGATCACGGTGGATCAGAATGGTGTCCACAGCTTTACATTCATTCTGGAGGGTACTGAGACACTTCAGCTCCACAGAATGGCGTACTTACGTAAAATCCTCTCCCCACTGAATGCCCATCTTAGGGATGTTAAGAAGGGCAGGGAAGAGTCCACTATAGAAAATAACAAATGGGAAATGTACATGTTAAAACACTAAATGTCCAGGCTCCTGGGGCCCCTGCCCAGGTGGCCCTTACCTACCAATAGTGGTCTCACAGAACTTCTCTGCAGCCACCTCGTTGGCGATGTTGGCTCCCATCAGCACACTGATGTCGATGCCCATCTTCTCACGGATGATGTCAGAAATGAGTTTCAGCCCCTCGGGGCCCTTATCTATGCCCTAGGAGGATGTTGAGAAGTTAGGGGGGGTGGAAATAAACCACCAAATAAAAGAGGTGCGAGAGAGTTGCTTTGTAAGTAATCTAAATTCAGATATACGATGGCAAAACCAAACTGAAAAATCTCTTACAAGAGTAAACATATATGCATACTGCATATGTACTATTTAAATAATAATAAAATGAAAAGAATAAAATGAACATGTACCCACCACCCAGGTTAAGAAACAGGACATGACTGACATCACTGAAGTCCCCTGTGTGTCCCTCAAGTTCATCCTCTTCCCACCCCTCCTTCCCAGGACGCACACTATCCTGAATGCTGCAGGCATCACACCGTGCTTTCATTGATCATTTTATCACATATAATGGTCCCTAAATAATGTTATGTCATTATGCCTGTTTGTGAAAGTCTACAAATACAATTGTCCCATTCACCTGTGATGTGCTGTTTGGTCATACATTTTACAGATTGGCCCATGTGGCTGGATGAACATTCTAGTGCATTCCTGTTCACTGCTGCATATAATTCCAAAATAATTAGCCCACAATTAATTTATCTATTCTATTGCTGACATTTGGGTTGCTCCAGTTTGCTTTCTTTTTTGCAACTGGCCAGCACGTCCAGTTTGCTTTCATGAACACTCATCTATGAACACTCTGGAACAGAGTCTCTGCAGCGGGTGTGTGTGGCTGGTATGGAAATCTGAACCCTTGACCTTTGTGTTGCCAGCAAATGGGGTTCTTAACCTTTTTCATGACACAGACCCCACCCGTGGCAACCTGGTGAGATTTACAGACTCATTCTCAGAATTTCATATGCATAAAACAGAATACCTAAGATGACCTAGAAAGCCAATTATATTGAAATGTAGTTATCAAAATGTTAAAAAAAATGTGATAAGGTAATATATGTACTGTTTTAGTAATGCAATTAGAAAAAGATGTCATGGAAGATCTAATAATTACCACAATTTCCAAGTAATGACAGGCAAAGTGATACTTTGAGATATCTGAAACTGCTGTAAAGTAAAATGAAAGTCCCTGTAATTTTTTGACAACAGGGTCACAGGTCTTGCTCATACTACTGTTAGTGGAACTCTGGCTGTGGCCTACATTCATAAATGAAGGAAATCCTCATTTCAGTTAGAAGTCAAAATAAAAGTGCAAGGTTTTCCCCCACATTTAAGTGCATGAGTCTCCTGAATTCTATCTGTGGACCTTAGGGGGTGGCTCGTGGATTTCTGGTTAAAAATCCCCTCTTTAGAGTATATATCTAAAGAGGAATGGGAACTAATGGTGATTAATTTCTCAGCTAATGAAAACCGCTAGTGATTTCCAGACCACAGGCTGAGCCCCATGAGTGAACTGGAAGGCTCTGGCAGCACAGCTCACCTGTCCTCACATCACTGTCACTGCCAACATGCTGCAATAGAAAGTAGCCTGCTCCTAAATTTGAGCTAAACTAGGCTTGTGGGGTGTGTGTTTTATTATCTTCCAATCATCTTTAAAAACTCAAACAAGAAACACAAAACTGCCACAACCTCCCCTTCAGCTCCACAACTTGAGCAGATGAAAGTGAGAAGAAATTAAATTTCCCTGTAACCGATGTCTAGTGACGTTTTCTCCCCAGCCGCCCCTGTCCGCACGCCCGGTTACCTTGATGAGGGTGATTCCTAGCGCTTTCTTGGGCACTCTCCCAGTGATCTCATCACAGATTTTGTGAATGAACTGGTGGGGAATGACAAACACCAGCAGGTCTGCATCCTGCACAGCCTCGCTGAGATTGGCAACGGCAACCTGCAACCATGAGGCAGAGGAAATAGTTACTCCTATATCAATATATGCCTATCTAAATAGTTTCATTCACTGACCGTTTATCAGATGCCAATTCTGTGCACAGCATCGTGAAGACAGATGATAAAGGCACAAGTATGGCGTCTGCTCTGCCCTCTTTATTCAGGACATGGGGTTCTGACACCAGGAGGGTCTCCTGGTTCTGTAACCTACCAGCTGGGCACGTGACTTGCCCTCTCCATCCCTCAGTTTCCTTATTTGTAAAAGGCAGGCATAACAACACTGTGTGGTGGTTCTGTTGCTCTCCCAATAATCCCCGCACCCCATGCATCCATTTTCTGCCCTTGTCTGCCCCATTCTGCTCCCCAGGACACTGCTTTCTATGGACAGTTTCCCCCAGACTCCCTTGCTGTCTATTTTCCAGTTGGCTTCAGCCAATGGGGGCACTGTTGGGAGATCAAAATGTGGAGGAGAGACAGGTCAGGGTGTTTATCAGCTCTCTGGGGCCACTCCTGTCCAAGCTTGCAGCAGTTCTGGTTTGGCTTCATTCTACAGTCACAGCTCCTGCCTGGCAGCCCCTCTCCCAGTCTCTAGCCATCTTCGGCTGGTTTGGTAACAGTCTATCCCCTGGCCCTTTGAGGAGTGGTAATGGCTTCCTGCTGTTGCTAATCACCAGGCACTTAACCAACCCCTGTGGGTTCCCTCGACCCTTCAGTACCTCTGTCAATAGAGGCATCCCTCGTTTTATTGTGTTCTGCTTATCGCACTTCACAGATACTGCATTTTTCCTTATTTATTTATTTTATTTTATTTTTTTTACAAATTGAAAGTTTGTGGCAACCCTACATTAAGCAAGCCTATTGGCACCATTTTTCCTAACATTTTTTAGCAATGAAATATTTTAAAATTAAGGTATGTACATTTTTTAATACATAATGCTATTGCACTTGGACTACAGTATAGTATAAACATAATTTTTATATGCACTGGGGGCTTTATATAACCCCAGAGGGCTGATAAATACTCTGACCTGTCTCTCCTCCACACTTTGATCTACCAACAGTGCCCCCATTGGCTGAAGCCAACTGGAAAATAGACAGCAAGGGAACCTGGGGAAAACCAAAAACCTTGTGACTCGCTTTACTGCAATACCTGCTTTACTGCAGTGGTCTGGAACCCAACTCACAGTGTCTCTGAGATATACCTGTAGCCTCACACTAAACTTTCCTTGGTTAAATCCTTTGTGTTTGGCACCTGGTATGCACTCAGTACATGTTAGCTATTATGACAATTTCTTCCCTTTAGGTAAGTACGAAGATGGGTTTTAAAACACGGGCAGAGGTGAGGGCATGTAGTCAGGACAAAAGGCACGTGGTATCTAGCAGAGACTGCTTGTTACTGCCCAGTGTCTATTCTCCCTCCTTCCTCAGCAGTAGGACCCCCAGCTTGGAGCTAAGCTTAAATGCCAGGAAAGAAGGCTATCTTTCCCAGTCTCCCTTGCAGCTACGTGTACCACGTATCTAAGTCCTGACCAATGGAGTGGAAGTGCTACATGTGACTTCTGGAAAACGTCCCTGAAGGTCTTTCTTCTTCCTTTTGCCAGGGAGAATGCGAGATGGCTGGAGGTCAGTCAGTCATCTTGGACCATGAGGAGGAGACCACAAGCTGAGATGGCAGAAGAATAAGATAAAGGGAGTCCCTGATACCATGCCACTGCTGTATTAGCCATGAACACCTTCTACACAAGGGAAAAATGCACATTTACTTTGCTTAGTCATTGTTATTTTGGGTTTTCTGTCATATATACCTAAACCTAACTATAACTGATGTAGTCCTCATTAAGCATTCCTGGTTCCCAGAATGAAGGGACTTGGAGGAAGACTCTTTTCTAAGGAAGGCTGTCTGGCACAGGAGCATCATACAGGATGGGCAAGCCCCCGAGAAAACTCGGTTTAGGAGTTGTTGTGGAGACCACCAGCTCCTAACTACTTAGTATTCCTTCTCCCCTTCCTCCTTAATCACAGAATTGTAAGGTCACCTAGCTAGGGACTGCATTTCCCAGCAGCCCTTGCAATTACACATGGTCACAGACCAAGTTCTTGTTCATGGAACGTAAGAGGCCGTAGAGTACACCGCTTACGGCCCGAGCCCTTAAAATGGTGAGTTGCTTTCTCCACACTTCCTCTTCCCCATTCTGTGAGTTGAAACCCTTGGCAATCCAGCCTTGACCATGGTGAGGGCAAGGCCTAGTAGATGGCACAAGAAAAAGAAACAAAGGACCAAGAATAACAGTGTGAAGCAAAGCTGCTAGACCACTGTTGTATAAGAGAGGGATACTTCTCTTGCTCTTGAAGTCACATTATTATTACATCTGTTGCTGTTATCTTGGCCTATTATCTTAACTAATACATATGCTAAGAGTCACTCTCTCAGTCAAAGACCTCCCCAAGGAAATCTACCTGGAATTATTTCATTCCTTAATTCATTTAGTAACTGTGGAGGACTTCTATAATTTACTGTCCAGCCTCCTTTCCTCTTCTTTCTAGCCAAAGTGCCCCTCAGTTTCCCTTCAAAATCTACCACTTCCCCATTTAAACCATGCAATTTGAGTGGAACTAGCCCCTCCCCCTTTCCAAGGATGGTGCTTAACTCATTCAAGCTAATGGGCAACTAAAACAATCACAGCCAACCAAAAAACCACCAGACATCTGCTGGGGCTTCTGGAAAACAGATGCTTCCTTACTCTTTTGCAGTGGTTATGGTCTTCCCTTGAACAATGTGGGATGATGGTGTGAAGTCTGGAACTGCTGCAACCATTTCACAAAAGTGAGGAGAGAACCTACACCAAGGGGCTCCCAAGTGGATAAGCTACCTTTGAAGAAGGCAAAGCAGAGAAATCAGAGGAAAAACAGGGCCTCACTGACATCATTTAAGCCACTGCACGTGAAACCAGCCTTACCTGGATTTTCAGTTACATGAACCAACAAATTAGCTTAAGCTGGTTTGAATGGCAACATAAAGTCACTCCCTGCACAGCAGATCACAACCCACAGCTTAGCATTTCTCCCTCTTTAAGCATATCCCCAAAGGTAGGGAAAGCCTGTTTTTCTCTTCAGAGGGGCTTCTCCAAATTGGTAATCTAGGCTAGGTAGCCTCAGGTGGTAAGGATTTATTACCCCAAATCCCCCTGCTATTACCAGTCCTGTTGCACCCTCCAACAAAGCAGTCTTATTCTATTCCATTAACCTCCCAATGCTAACTCACAATTACCCTGCTTGTCCCTTACTAGCAGAGCTCATTATGCTCTCATGTTTTCACCTGTGGTCCCAACCCCCCACCCCACTGCCTTTATAGGAACTGTGATCCCTCATTCCCCCTTGGGTTAGTCGCCTTGCATAGGTGGGGCTTTATGCTCTCTACTCCCTTTCTCATGTGGAGTCTGGCAGCCTGAGTTTTCATTAAAACCTTTACAATTCTCCGGACCTACTGTTTCTCCTCTTCCCCTTCCACTTTTAATACACATACTCCCCTCCCTTTCCTCCTTTTCAGGATATTTTCAACATGGTGAAATGGAAAAGACACCAGAATCAAATAGAAAAGATGCAGGTTTGAAGGTTTGAGTCCCACATACACAACTGACCAGCTGTGTAACCTTCGGCAAGTGACTTAGCTTCATTGACCTCAGTCACCCCAAATGCAGAATGAGGATAAAAATTACCTTTCCTACCTAGCTACTTCACAGAGCACTTTCAAATTAAGTAATATGAGTGTTTTGAAATTACAAAGACCTTAACAAATGAAAGAGATAATTAATCGGTAAAATCTACCCACCTCCTATAAATCCTTAACTTTAAAGAAATCAGCCCATCCTCATGTCCCCTGTAAAAAAAAAATTCTCAAGGATGCTGCCAGCTGTTAAGGATTTCTTCCTGCCTCTTACATTTCCTTCTTAAATCAATCAAAGAAGAACCTGCAGGTGGTAGGCAACGTGATTGATTGTTCCCTAGACAATATGACTGGGGGATCAACATCACATGAAGATGTCCTTCTAGTCTCCTTGGTGGACTCCTTAGGATTTAACCTACAGAAGCAATGTGTAATACAACACAAGCTGCATTTGTATGGTGCATGTGGTCCACTCACAGAACATTATTCCTCTTACACAGTATCAAAATGACTTCTCTTAGCTAATGAAGTAATTTGAATCTCATCTTTCAAAATAAAACCTTTTGCTAAGCCTCTACCCGATCCCCTGCCCTGAAAATAATAAAGATGCTGCTTTGGAAATGTTGACCACTTTTATGAGCCTCCTGCCAAATATCTTTCTGAGAGTTTTCACCCTTTAAAGACCCTGGAATAAGTTAGGAGAGACAACTTGGAACAACATGGCTTGCTTTTCAATGGCACAAAGGACAAATAAATCAGAACAAAGGCATCAGAGCTGGTTTGCTTAATGTCCAGACTTTCAAGAGTCTAGTGTTCTTGGTTCAAGTTAATAAAAACCCAATAATAAATAAAAATCATTGAAAACAAAGCTGATAAAGTCTGTATGGATAAGCCTGAAGGTTCTTTTGCATGCCCTGGATTAGTTACCACTGTGCAGAGTGTGCTCAATAAGCTTTTATACATTATCAATTCCTTATCTGCAGTCATCAGAGTGGTCAAGAAAACAGACCTCATAGCCATCATTGAAGACCTACCTCCTGACCCTCCCACGATGCTATTTAATGCCCTTTAAAGCCAAAGATTTAAAAGCCCTCTCCATTCATTTTTAACCATAAATAGGCTCACTGGGTCAAATTTGGAAAAAAAAAGTATAAGTAGGAAAATAACTGCTCATAATCCCAGCATCATTTTGGTACATTTCCTTCCAGGCCTTTTGAGCCTATAAAAATATCTAAAAGAGGGCCGGCCCGGTGGCGCACTGAGCTAGTGCGCCGCTTGGGAAGCGCGGCAGCGCTCCCGCCGAGGGGTCGGATCCCACATACAGACCGGTTCCCGCT